TGGTTAGCCAATTTTGCATCGTTATAAAGCGAAAATCGATTTATGGTAGTTCGGTTTATCGAGGTTTGACTGTACTTCTAATTTTGGATCATTTTTATAGAGACTTCCACTCCATAACACTTTATGTTTGAACTTTGAAAAAGTATACAATGATGATGGAAATCTTTGGTTGGATGATGGTAGTGAATGTAAAAGTGATAATTTTTGGTAGGATGATGATGATACTGTAGATGATGATTCTGTGTATGATGAATATGAAAGACAAGAAGGCAATGACGATTCTTCATACTTGAAATTTTCACAATTCCTTGATTGATGGTGCATAAAACTAGAGATAGGTTTTAAATCAGATCAATGTAAAGCATAACACTAAGCAATAAGAATTATAACCAACCTTGATGTTTTACTGACTAATGAATTGCCAATAATTTCATCTAAGGATTTTGGTTTCTGTGAATAATCACAGATTAAATCATTATCAGGATCTGAAAAAATATTATCATCATCATCTAAAACTTCCAATATTTGTGAAGAAGACTTATGAGCATGATTACTTTTTTTAGTGATTTCATCTAAAGATTTGGATTTTTGTGAAGATTTATAGATGAAACTATTGTCAAAATCTTGCAAAACATTATTATAATCTTCATTTAAAATTTCCAACCTTTGAGAAGACTTATGAGTATTTTTGGTAATTTGACATTTCTGTGAAAATTTATAGATGAAACTATTGTCAAGATCTGGAAAAATAGTATTATCATCATCTAAAACATCCAATCTTTGTGAAGAAGGCTTATGAGGGTGATTACTTTTTTTAGCAATTTGACTTGAATATTTTAATTTTTGTGAAACTTTTGGGAGAAATTATCATCAAGATGTGGTAAAATATTATTACTATCATCTGAAACTTCTGATCTTTGTGGAGATTTATAATAATCATCAAGATTTGGTAGAATATTGTTAGTAGTTGTTTGTTTAAGAATAGATTCAGTTTTTTTTGTTAATCTAGCTGATACTATGATCATTATTAGAGGTTGCTGCATTTAGTTGTAGTTGTTTTTGCAGGTGCTCTATATTTCCTGTCATTGTTAAAAAATAATATATCTTGTTCCAGGACCTTTTTAAATGATCTTAGTTTTCCAAGTAATGTTGGAATTATCTGTTAATATATGAAGAT